AGAGCTTCTCCTAAATTGAATTGGGCTCCTGGGCTAAAAGATGGTCAACATCTCTGGCACAGATCTTCCACAGATCTTCAGAATGAATGCTTCTAGGTCAAGGGTGGGGTTACCAGTACAAACTAACTTCCCTCTCTCCAGTTTGAAGAGGTTTAAGCAACTCCTTTTAATATACAAATTCTAAGCATTAAAGAAAGAAAGCATTGTTTGGCTCCCAAAGTGGAACATTTGTTTTCATCGTCTTGCATAACTACTCAGAAAAACCTAGTGGAACAACCTTATAGGATGCATTTTAACAATGTAGGGAACCTCCAGAATAAGCTTCCCAGTCATTTCCTATCATGTCTATTATACAGAAACCAACTTTGAAAATAGCTCCCAATTTTCTCCAAGGTACAAAATCCATGTCCTCATTTGTGTTGAAGGAAAGGGACAGATACATTCATACATGTGTTACTGATGAGACCATACTGCACCTGAGAAGAATAGCATTCAAATCTGCCACTTTGTTCTTTTAATAAAACAAGAGTTACTTCTATGCTAGCCGCTTTCTTTGAATCAAACAACTTCCATTTGCTTAGGGTTTTTTTAACAGAGAATTCTAATGGTGTTGCTAATGAATTATTTCATTTCTATGTTTTCTGCATCTCTCCATTTTTTCCAGACCTGACTTGCGTTGAAGACTTTAGATTAGATTAATTATAATTTGATTAGTTTCTCCCAGCTGAAGACAGACAATACTGTTTACAAAATTAAAAATTATAAAATGGTGAAGATGCAAATTAAATAAAGCTGTCATTAAAAACAAACATGTAGAAATGATAGTATCTAAACCAAATTCAAATACAAGATATCAGGTTAAATCCCAAGCATAGCAGAATGATCAGAGCAAAAGGCCATTCAAGCTTAACTCAAGGTCAAGTTCATGTAGAAGCATACCATTCCTGAGCTATGCTGGGCCCAAGCCATTTAGGATTTTAAGGACCAAACCTAGAATTTTCAATTTGGCATGGAAATAAATAGGCAACACATGAAGATGACATAGGATAAGTAACAAACCCCAACAGAGGACAATCTAGCATATTTTAGAATGCCTTTGAAGGCCACTACATATCGCAACCTTTGCTATAGACCAGAGATGGGCACTCTGTGGCCTTCCGGATATGTTGTCCCACCACTCTCATGATCCTTCACCATGTGCTGTACTGACCAAGATGAATGGGAGTCGTAGGGAAAAACAATGGGAAGGACATAGCTTTTCCAGCCCTTGCATAGGCTAACCTAGAGGTAACAACAGCATTGATAGCTGGCTGGACTAGCCTGAGACAATTTGCTTCCTGAGGCGCAGGACAAAATAGTGCCATTCCCTCTAACCCAAGTACCAAAGCTGACCTGTCTGGTCGTTGAGTCTTACATCAGCACTGGTAATAAAACAGCATTCTCCACTCACCTGAGGGCAGCAGGTAAGCTTAGGGGTCCATGGGAAACCATGGAACACACAGCCCCATCCTCCAGTACTTCACTACAGCTTCCCCCACCCTATGGCTGAAAGACCAGCTCTGATGAGTTAGGTCAAGCCAGGCTTCCCCAGAAAAGGCCTCAGCTGGCCTGCCAACCAACCAAAACCACCACTGCAACCTGAATGTCTCCCAACAGGGCAAAGCGCACCCGCGCACTGCGTATCCTTGCTCCCACCTTCAGAGGCACTACACCTCTGCCTAAAACAAGCTGTGTATTCACTGCCAAACTCAGGCCAGGCACCGCTTTATTAATGTTGCTGCCTCCTTGGGAGTAAATGTGGGTAATTGTATAATGTTAAATTTTGAAGGACTGGCATTCCTGGGGACACTTCCTATAACCATGCTCCCAAGGGGAGTCCAAAAACTTCTTGTGTTGATGTGGGTCAAGAATACTGATCAGTATCAAGAACATACCAGCTGTTCTCATCTCCACCCCTTCGGTAAAGCTGATGGGCCTTATGTGCCCATTCTGGACCAAGCCACCCAAAAATACTTTGCATTGTTACAAAGAATAATGTTTTGGTGGAAGAATTCATTCCCCACCCCACCCCACCCTGCCATGAGGATTGTAGTTTAACTCAGAGGAAAGAGGAACTTCTGAGCAATTGAGGGTCACAGAGGATTACAGTATCCCTGCTGACCAAGAAATGCTGGCACTTTTTGTCCCTGCGAGCCCTGGCTCCACTATACCACCAAACATTGGAAATGAAGTAGAATTTAGTTTCATCTGCTTGTTGATGCTTCAGTTCCCTTTACTGTGGAGTAAGCCCTAATGAACAGAGGCATATTCTCATGCCAACAGACATAGAAGTACTGTAGACCTCTCTACAATATTCATGTTTCAATATGAAATGACACTTCTGCTTGAATTGGCTTATTAGGACCACCAGAAAAAGTGGGGAGGCAGGCAGGCAGGAAAAATTGAAAAAATCTGATTAGATCTGTATCCAAGTCATGCATTCTTTGATGAAGGAGCATGCCATCCAGCAGAGTTTGTGACGGGTCTATTCACAGCAGCAGAGGGTTGCACAGGGCAATAAGCAAGCTTGCACTTAGTCAGAGAAGGTGCTGAAGGCCTTGTGATTATAGAAAATGCAGATGAAAAACATTTTGAGGTGTGTTAATGAAAAGCAACTTCATTACCACAACTTTGCCTTAAGATTTTCCTTCCCATAAAACTTTCTTTTCTCCTAGTAATGGACAGGTTTCCAAAGGGATGCAATTAAACTGAAGTGTTATGAATAACATAGGTGGAGAAAGACTAGAGCTGAGTAAGAATAAATATTTCACACTGGATTCATCAGAGAAACATCTAGCCGGTGACAACACTTCTCCACCTGTGCTAATTGACAGGACAGAAAATCCATAAGCTTTTTCTGCATTCTGCAAAGGGAAGAATTCCAGTATTTTGCAGTTAGGAAGAAAAGAGAACTATCATATTATAGGGGTGATGGTGTGAAAACCAATAAGTAGTTTATAGGAAAGTCGGTTCTATAGTTCAGACTCTTTGTTGCTCTTTAAAAAGTAGCCTAAAAAGCTTAAATCCAGAGCAGAATTTTTCATAAGAGAAGTGGATCTTTGATTTGCAGTTGTTTTAACTCAGTTCTGTAGGACAAAGTAAACAGACTGCTATCTGGGATGCAATGGGCTGGTTCAGCCGCACAGGCCATTGTGGGTTATTTAACCCATGAGTTCCAGTGCGTGTCAGTCACGTGTGGCCACCACTGTGGATATGCAACCCCGAATTGGAGCAATCGAGGTTATGTCTTGTCATGCAAACCTGGCCAGCATGGGTAATTTTAAGCTTAAAACCTTCATATAACCCTTCTATGAATCCATGTTGCCTGCTTTGGTTCTTTGTACATCTGCTCTGCACCTTAAAAAGATAGGCTTATCATATGAGGTCCAGATATTACACAGAAGCGGAAAATGGGTGAAAGAAGTTAAAATGGCACCAATGCACTGGCAGTTTTATTGACATTGGCACTGAAATGAGATTGGCTGTTTTATTTTCAGTTCCTTTCCTAGTTTTTTTTTTTTTTTTTTTGAGCCTACCTGTTTCGCAGCAGGTGTGTCTGGAAAGCAACAGGCTGGAGAGGCTGTATTAGTGCCACCTTACAAAACATGCAATGGATGATGAGCTGATGAGCATCATGTTTGCTTATTTGCTTTATAACCCTCAGCATGCAAGTGCTCTCAGAGTCGCTAAAGCAGAAGTGCCAGCAACAACGACGACGATCATGAAAGTACTTTGTACTTTGAAAACATCAGTGTCATAGCAGTGGCAAACTACTTGGCACGAGGTGTGAAATGACTTGGAGACTATTTGCAAAGTATGACTTCTACTCAGGGTTTGGGCCAAGCCCATCATGATGGCTATGAATGGATCTTCTGCCTCTTTACATGTGGGAGGAACGCAGCCCTGGAAAGCAGCTCAGCTCTCAGACTGAGACATTAGTGCAATGGTCAACCTTTCCCTTTGTTGAGGCAGATCACCTTGGAATAAGCATTTTTCACTGGGGGAAAAAGTGTATAAGGATGAGGATTAGATCCCCTCTTTGTGGCACCTATTTGATTCACACACACCATCATTGGTTAACAATTGTTGGAAATCCACTGATAGTTTGTTATTTTCTCTGGTTTGCCCTCAAATATCTCCAAAGTCCCGTCTCTTTGGCCGATTGTACCCAGAGGTGAAACTCCACTGGCATTTGTTCCATTGCTCTATACTGCCCCAGATGATCTCACTCAGTCTGTACAAAGTCTTGAATGAGGAGTTCGGACAACCAGTTTACCAGTTACTTCAACAATTTAATAGCTCCCCTTCTAGCATGCTAGGCATTCCAGGCTGGGCTGCAAAAGCAGTAACAATTACATTCTATTTAAAAAGCTTTCTACTCCAGACATTTGCCTTAGTACATCAAAGTCTTTCATCTGTTTCTTGCAGGGTCAGGGGTAAGCTTGAGAAGGTAGAGGCAGGCAGATTGTCAAAACAGATTAGTATTTTCCTTTCCTGTGTCTTTCCCTAAGAAAAGAATTGATGGGTGTTTGGGGGATTAAGAAATGAAGCTAATTTCATTATAAATAACTCTCTGATCATATTAACATAACAGAATTGGGTTTGCTGAGCAGAGCCTAAGCTTTCAATTCTTAGATTATATTGTGCTCCAATGGGAGAGAACATTTTTCAAATCTAGTGATTTAATGCAAAGCAGATTGTCATTACTGTCCTATAAGTCTTATTTACTGCAGGCTACTGCTCTTCAAATATTGGAACTGAATATTTCAAATTTTAGAAAGAAGAGCCAAAACACACAGACACATTGATTTAAAAAGAAGCTGACCATCTTGTTCCACAAAACAGGATCACTCTAAAGGACAATGAGGTCTTTAATGCTATCTGTCACAAAGACTTATTGATAATAAGGATTGTGGATTGTCATGTATGCCCACACAAAAGAAATCAAATTAAATAGCATCTTTAGGTTGCAAATCCCAGATCTTGTTTATTTATAAAGCAATAAATATTCAAAGAAGCACAAATAAATTGCATGGGGGTGTAAACAAACTGTACAATAGCTGAACCAAATTCAGGAAGGATTACTGAAAAAAGACTTCAAGAAGCACATCATCCTGAGTGGAAGATAAGTGGAGGAGGCAGGGAAGGGACACCAGAAGATGCTTAGAAGCACTTGCGGTGGACAATTGAAGGACCAGCCTCATCATATTCCTGCTTGCTGATCCACATCTGCTGGAAGGTTGAAAGAGATGCTAAGATGGAGCCACCAATCCAGACAGAGTACTTCCGCTCAGGAGGGGCAATGATCTTTAGGGAGAAAAGGAAAGAACGTCATCAGTTAGAGCTCCACCAATACTGGTCAACATAACTTTGATTGGGTTATTATACTGGGGCAGTATCCAGTGGGACCATTCCACCTCTGCTGGCTCTACTGCACTTGAAGAACCAACTGATTGTACAAAAGAGCTTAAGCATGTCCAAAAGTCACCCAACCACAAGTGGAAACAGTTGTTTCTGGATTAGGAGAGGTCAAAGGAACTTCATTTTGTGAGCTCCTCTAACTGACCCAGTTCTGGAAATGAGCATTCCTGCTTGCTTCTGGGATTCTTTTTAAATGTGCCAAACCCTCATTGCACTGGAAGTGGATTCTGTGAAAGCATGGGCAGAACTGGATACTACCCATATGGTGCATCACACTGGCAAACCTTTTAAGACCTGACTGCAGCAAAAATAACTGTGTAACCTTTCTCTGACTCAGACCAAGCAATCCCATGGGAGACAGAGAAGGAGAAACCAAACTGGAAAAAAATCGTTCTTCTGTACCCTGCCAGCTCATGCCAACAGAGCCCAAGATACCAGGCATGCCTTTTCTCAGTACTAACCTATCTTGGCCAGAATGTTTTCCTTCCATTGGTCCTAATAAAGAAAAGTAAGCTGTACCAGCTTCAGGAAGCCATAGTTAGTCTCCCGTTCCAGATATGTACTGGAGGAATGGGGACAGTGGGGTTGTGTTTACTCCACGGCTTCTCCTGGCAGGCCTGCTTTTTGTCATTTCCAATATCAGAGTTCCACCATCAAAAAAGTTCCAGCGCCAGGAAGGAGGCTTGTGAGACTGGATTTCTTTCCAGTGGCAGATTTCTCCCTTCACCCCCAGAGATCAGGAAAATCCCATGGAATTGTGCTCTGAGTTTCAGCTAGAGAAATGCAACATATCCTGTTACCTTGATTTTCATTGTGCTGGGGGCCAAAGCAGTGATTTCTTTCTGCATACGATCAGCAATCCCAGGGTACATGGTGGTGCCGCCTGAGAGTACATTGTTGGCATACAGATCTTTACGGATATCAATGTCACACTTCATGATGCTGTTATAGGTAGTTTCATGAATCCCTGCAGATTCCATTCCTTGGGAGGAAAAGAGAATAGATAATTCATTGAAAGGATAAAGAAGGGCTAACATCAACCTGCAATTCATAAGCAAAGAGCTACAAATAAGGTACAAGAAAGATACAAGACGGTACAAGAAGACTGAAGGTACAAGAAATGCAAGAATTCGCTATAAACATGGGGGAAGGCAGACCAGTGATTCTTGAACTAAGGAATGAAGAGCCACAGGGTGTTTTGCTGTGGTTTTGACAAAACAATGGCAGGCAGCTATGGCATGGAGTCAGTTCATGCCCCCTCTCCTTCCTCAATATACCAAGCATATCAAAGCTCTCTTAGTCCAAGGGTCAAACTCAATTTCAGGTAGCCTCTTGGAGGCCATGTCCTGGGGTAGACGGGGCTGGATAGCCAGACTGGAACCCCAGACAAGGTAACATTAGAACTGCATGTTAGATTTTGCTGGTAGATATGATTGCGCAACACTGGTACAGATCTAGGGGTTGTGGAAGCACTGTGATCTCACAAGCTGCCACTGACCATGGCAGTCATACGTGCTTTATGTGTTTCCAATTCTCAGTGCAACTTCCCAGGAAAGGTTGAGATTGTTCCTCTGGACAAAAAACAAGGGTATGAATTGGCCTTGGGCCGGCCCACTGGATGGCTATGTGTGGCACATGTCCTGATACATTTATGCACATGGGCCTCGCTCTGCTCTGAGCTAATCTGATGTGATGTGATACAATATAAGGCAGTCACAGCATACAAGCAGACAGCTTGCATCGGGAGAACTTCAAGGCACAGAGGTTCATGTTAAAATTTGCATTTGCAAGGGAAGAAATGCAGAGATCCTCTCAATGAAGGCAACAGATGATGAAGGTACGAGCAGAAGCTTAGCTGTGAATGCGGGGAGAAAATACATCAGTTGCAAGAACGCATGGGTTACATTCCAGCGTATTAGTTGACAGGTGGCTTCTTAAAATGAACTGAAACTCGATACACAACAAGATAACAGCTGATGAACAACTGCAGTTAAACACAGAAGGCTTATATTATAAACACTTGCTGCATCCATCAGATTTCTTTGGCAAAGCAGAGGGAGATTACAATCTCAGTCATGTCAAAGGTTGGTCTTAGTGAATATGAACCTACTCTGGCCTTTGGGGGAGCTTGGAGTCATCTTTGGAGCATTCACAGGGCGTGGTTCTGGGGCAGTGCAGCCTCAGCATTTCCACTCACTTGAATGGGTTTTATGCAGAGTTGTTGCATAAAACCCCCATTCAAATCAAAAAAGCTAGGGAAGCCCCAACAGCACAGCTGAATTAAAAACACACACTTGTGAAGAAACACAACAGTCAAGCAATGCCTCAGTGAAAAACTCCTAACCTTGGGCATATAGCTATCAAGGTGCTTGTGAGTTTTACTTTGACAGAAGCAGTGTAACTGATTTCACATAATCTGAAATTCACATTCACATTCTGAATTTCAGCACCAGGCTGGGGAATAACAGTCTTTTAGCAGTGAGGGCAAGTTCCTGCAATGCCAGAAGATCTTCTCTTGGATGCATCAGGAAGACACTGCCAAACAAAAAGTTCTTTTCAAGAACATTTGCTATGATTCTGTTCTTTCTGCATAACTGGCACTAGGTAAGGCCGTGTGATCGAGGGCGGATCACCACTCTTGTCCTTAAAGCAGAAGGAGGGATGGCTTTGGCAAGAGTACTTGGAATACTGTCCCATTCAATATTTTGTGACAATAGTCTCTCACTGGGTCAGTTTGAATATCATGGGTTATAATAAGTCATTATATTTCATTGAAATATTAGATGGTATATAAATGTTTTTAAACAAACGAGCAATCCCCAATTCAAGGAGACAGACATTTCCTGTAGCAACCACTGATCAGCCCAATTGACAATTGTCAACATGATGTGCAAACCCAGTCCAGTGGCTTGTTCATGAAACTCAACAACAAAATTTGAATTGTTCACTGGGTTCTTTAGCTCCTAAACAACACATCAATCTGGGTTTACATACCACACCAATGTCCTCCAACCAGGCTAATTTGATCGTGTTTACAGTAAATAGATGGCATGTTGAATATAGAGGTATGATATGTGAACCCAACCACTATGCAGAACTAGGAACCCTGCCAGAGATATGGATGGTCTTAAGGAATATTTATTTATTTATTTAGGAAGCTTCTATGCCGAAGCCTGGGAGTGGCTCACAACAATAAATAACAACAATATAAAAACAATATAATTGGAGACATCCTGGCCAAAGATGTAAAATCAATAAATAATATTAACAATTAAAATGACATTTAAATAAAAAGATCTTGGCCTGGTGCCAAAAAATAAATAAATAATAATCACTTGACCTGAATTAAAAGGGTGGCCGGCCTTTCCCTCCACCCTAGCAGTCTAATTAGTTATTTTGCTGAAGAAGAGAAACCTCTCTGAGCTAAATAACAGACTTTAATTTAAATGAGAAGGAAGACCAAGATAATGAAGCTATTAGGCCATAGAAAAACATGCTTGTTGGAACAGATGCAAGATCATTGTTGAACAAGAGTACAACAGAGCAGATTCAACTGATGCAGAGTTTTGGTACATGATGGGGATTTGTCTGTGCTGACCAGTGAAATCTGACAAATGGTTCCAATATTAAATGTTTCAACTTGGGTCTTAAAAAATTAAGAACACCACTATTCACACTTCAGTGGCAAACCCTGCTCAATGCCATCTAAAACAGGAGAGGAGAACCAGGATGCAGGAGGGTGTAAATCCACCCCTTCCATGGGCCACGAACACAGATATCATGGCCTCACCCAGTCCACCTTTTTACGTCTCTCTCCCACAGTGAGAAGACTTCAGCCGAGCCCCTTGCATGGGTATTTTGTGTAGGCCACTACCCGAGCACCAGTCACACACTCAGGGAGTAGAGTGGTGATCCAGAAAGAGAGAGAGAGAGATGAATAAGAAGCAATGGCAATTCAAGTAAATCTGATCTTGAGCCTAAAAGTTGCATGCATAAAAACACTTACCAATGAAAGATGGCTGGAAGAGAGTTTCTGGGCAGCGGAAGCGCTCATTTCCAATTGTGATGACCTGGCCGTCTGGCAACTCGTAGCTCTTCTCAAGAGAAGAGGAGGATGCTGCAGTAGCCATTTCATTCTCAAAGTCCAGGGCGACATAGCATAATTTCTCCTTAATGTCACGGACAATCTCACGTTCAGCTATAGGGGCAAATCCAGAAATTCATGGCAGGAAAGAAGAGAGAGGCCAAAGAGAAGACAAGCAACATCAGGAATAGACACTTCTGGGAGGAAAAGACATTCTTTTTTGGAGATGTTTCCTGCACTTGCAGGGGAGGGGGGCGGGCATTGCTACATCAGTATGTCCTCAGCAAAACTGCCCAGGGTGTCGAAGGGTGGGGAGAGGGCTGCAGAGATCGCTGGATGGTTCTGTTCAGGGTGGGGGAAGAGTTGTGGGAGAGGCAGAGTCTGCAGAGAAAAAAGGAATAGTGTCTTTTTTTTTGTTTTAAAGAGCAAATGGAAACTGCTGTGAAATGCAGCAAAAGCAAGGTTCCATTCATAAGAAGTATTTAAATCATTCTACAGTGACTTGGGAACTACTGAATTTAATTCTACTCAGTCTTACTTTGAAGTCTTATCAAAGTGGTATGGACCAGCAAAGAAAGCAGAGGAACTTGTACTGTTAAAGCAGCAGATTTTTATATGAAATGAACCTGAGAGCCAGTGCGGTATGCTGGTTAAGAAGTAAGAATTGGGACTCAGGCGATCTGGGTTCTAGTCCCTGCTTGGCCATGGGACTAACTGGGTGACTGTGGGCCAGTCACAGACTCTCCACCCAACCTCCCTGAAAGGGTTGTTGTTGGGGGAATAAGATGGAGAGCAAGAGAAGGAGGTGGCTAATGTAAGCCACTTTGAGTTCTTTGCAGGAAAAAAGGCAGGATATAAATCTAATTTATAATAAAGGATTTAATTCATAAATGCACATTTGAATGGTAATGGTGATGCTAATTATGCTTTGGGTCCACCTCTAGTCATACTTAAAATAACACCATCGAACGCAATAATCCGAGTGATTTCAATGAGACTACATGAAGTGTGGCTAAATCTGGATCCAGTCCAGTATCTTTGCTCCTTTGTTACTCTGTAGGATCTGTATATATAATTAAACCCTTTAATTTACTTAAAGTTTGCTGTACATTAAGGTAAACTAGTCTGGAATTTTAATATGTTACGTGGTATGGCATTATTTAAATAAATAACATTTGCTGCTGAGTCTAGGTATAGGCTTTGGGCTATTTGTTTTGTTTGGAGGAGAAATACTCCAGAAGCATCTCTGAGCTTAGAAATGTTGACCGTGACATTTTAGAGGAAGCCTGTATTGTGCTTACCCGTTGTCACAAACGAATAGCCACGTTCTGTCAGAATCTTCATGAGGTAGTCAGTCAGATCTCTCCCAGCCAGGTCCAGGCGCATGATGGCATGAGGGAGAGCGTACCCTTCGTAAATTGGGACATTGTGTGTAACACCGTCCCCCGAGTCAAGGACAATGCCTGCATGGAGGAAACGCCCAAGAGCTTGTGAGACCCATCAGCTCCTTACTACTGAGAATCCACGACAATACCGGTGATATAGCTGAGAATTGGTCTGAAGGACCAGCTTGCTCATTTTACATTCCACTCTGTATCTCATCACTCCCCACAATATCCCAAGTGGTGCCTGCCTCAAATTCAGTCTCGTTGCTAAAGTCAGTCTCCTCCTTGAAACAATTTTGTATCTGCATCATTTCACCAGTTCGCTCTCTCCGTTTCTAGCTTGCATCACCCCAGAGCAACTGGACAATTTTCATTTTAATAACATTGTGAACCTTGGATGCATGGCAAAGGCCTTGAGCTTGTTTCCCCATCCACAAGGGCAGAAGAGGGGAGCCAGTGGTCCACCGCATGCTGGATCCTGCGACTCCCTAGCCAGCACAGTCAATGGCTAGTGGTAAGCCAAAGCATCTGGATGATGTCAAGTTGCCCACTGAAGTCTTCCATTACAATAACTGTCTTAGGAATTCTATGTTTAAACACGGGGAGTAGACAGTCAAGGTTGCCCATTGAAGATTAATTATCCATTAACTTCCTTTAACCACCCATGATATATTGCATTCCCAGTTGCATCTGTCATACATTACAGCAGGAGTGGACTATAGGTGGTCCACAGGGAACATCTGACCCATTGGCCCTGGTTGCAAACCCCACTGTTCATCTCCCAGCAGGACTTTTGAGCTTGCTGCAGTGCGAACCAAAAGAAGCAACAATGTTGCTTTCAGGCAAGACACATGGGGGGCATATTCCTCATTTGGAAGGAGAACCATGGTCCTGGAAGGCAGCAAATTTGGAAACAAACTTGGTCATAGGGTGTTGAATGGGGCCAGGAGGGCAGGGTGACCCCATGGCTCCCTCCCACAAGCAGGGGCAAGGAAACTGCTTAGCTACGGGATCATCCCACAATGCAGCCATAGTATGTAAAACCCCAGGAACACACAGGGACTCTCTGACTGCATTGGTCCTTCCCACCTGATCATCACCCCTGATCTCAGCTGGACAAGAATCAGGCCAAAGGGACCCATGGGGGATTGGTCCTCCCACAAGATAAAAAGGAAAGCAGAAATTACAGAAAAGGGCAGGAGGAAGGCTGTAGGTGTACTTAAGCCCAAAATGTTTTCAAACATAAATCAGGATGACTTTTCAACATAATCAACCCTTCAGTCTCTCTAACATGCTGTTAGGATTTTAAACATTATGGCAGCATTTAGGATGAACAAGCAGCTTACAAACCACCGCAATAAATTAGGGATCACCACACTAAAAGTGATTCAGGTGGTAAACCAATAAGCATCTCCTGCCTTTTCAAAAGGAGGACGAAATGGGGGCAGGGTGGTCTAGCTGGCACTGGTGACCAAGCACAGAAATTACGATGTTCACTTTTTCTGGACTCTAGAATAAGACAAGATACAAGGCAAAGGTGCGATTGTTATTCAACAGACAGGCCGAGATTTCAAAGCAGCACAAACTGATGGCTCTTTACCTGTAGTACGACCAGAAGCGTAAAGGGATAGAACAGCTTGGATGGCCACATACATGGCAGGCACGTTGAAGGTCTCAAACATGATTTGAGTCATCTTTTCACGATTGGCTTTGGGGTTCAGAGGAGCCTCTGTGAGCAGGGTGGGGTGTTCCTCAGGGGCAACGCGCAGTTCATTATAGAAAGTATGGTGCCAGATTTTTTCCATGTCATCCCAATTGGTGATAATGCCATGTTCAATGGGGTATTTCAATGTTAGGATTCCTCTCTTGCTCTGAGCTTCATCACCCACATAGGAGTCTTTCTGGCCCATACCAACCATAACGCCCTAGAGGGCAGAAAAGACAAACAATGCCAGGCATTGTGAGTAAGACATGTAGGGAATGATTGATTCCAGCATAGAACAAGCTGAGAAAAATGGATGAAAGTGTCAAATATTGATCAAAAATGAAAGATTTTATTCCAATGAAAGATTGTCTTAAATTAATAACGTAATTTTGTAAGAAGAGCATTATTTAACCAGTATAAAATATGGGTGAAAAAATAACCCAGGTAACATACTTAAGTGTGACGTTGCACCAATTCTTGAAAACACCTATTCTTTCTCTGTTTTTTGTAGGATGTTTTTATTATTGTTCTTTTATGTAATATTATAATCTGCTTGGAGAGTCTTCAGACTAGTATAGTGGAATATAAGTTGAATAAATAAGTTGAATAAATAAATAAAACAGTAGTAGTTAATGTATTCCAGAAATAGCTAAGAGTAAAAATCCCTGTCTGCAAACTACACTACCAATACATTGTAGAGAATTACACCTGTACATTTCTTTCCATACCCAGATCATGCAATTTATTGTTGGTCACTCTTGAAGTAAACTTTGTTGTTTGTGAGGGTTGGTATGACTGCAACCTCATCAATTTTGAGAACAAAATTGAATATTTGCAAGCTCCTGGAATCTTAATGGAATAGTTGGCACGCCTATATTTCTTCCACTTGAGTGAAATGGCTTGATAGTGTCTTTCAGGTTAAGATAGTGTCTTTCCTTTTCATTGACTTGTTTTTCATTGGTGTGTTTAAGCTACAGCACATGCTGGACACCATTTGTCTAATTACCTGCCTGGATGCAGTTTGTCCAAACTGAGGTGGCATGGCTTGTTGTGGGGCCATGGATTAGATGAGGGTCATTTGCCCCTCAAACAAGCCATGCCAATCAGGTTTATATGACACAAGCCATACCTGGGAGGACAATTGTGTGCAGTGCAGCCGCAGCATCTCTATTCGCATGGCAATTCACTCTGACTGGTTTAGGCTACAGTGATTGTATTAACTGAGTTAGTGTGCCCTGAACAGTGAATCGCCCTGTATAGTTCCATGAGTCACAGTTATTTGCAAACAGTTACTCCACTGTTGCATACCAGAGTCTTGCTAAATAGAACATATTTATAATATAAATAGGTTGAAGGCAATTTCTGTTTTATGATAATGGAGGGGGGATTAAAATAAATGTAAATTAGTAATAGTAAGCAAGCATTGTCCTTATAGGGACTCCAAGGTCATGGAATTATCACACTTATGGAGCTCTTGCTCTTAACCATATGATCCTTAAAAGAGGGATGGGATGGGATGGGATGGGATGGGATGGGATGGGAGAGAGCAAATGGTAGGGGTGGAGTATAAGACGGGGGGGGGGGGAAGCAAAAGAGAGAAAAAAGGAGAGACAGTAATGTGAACAGAGGACAAGAGAAAGATAAACCAGAGGATTAAGCTGAGAAAGACAGGCAAAACCAGGTTTAGGAAGAAAGGAATAATCAACGTGGCTATAGAGTAGTAGTGTACAGAGTGATAGATGTGTACAGGTGAGACCTGGGTTCAAATCCCTGCTCAGCAATGAAGTTCACTAATGGCTTGGTACAAGTGACTCTCCTTGAGCATAGTAGTACCATTGGGATTTAATGTGAGGGCACAAAGTCCAGGGCCCCACTCAGCAGAATGAGAAAGAGGCCTCCGCGATGCAGCAGGGTCAGCTTACCACATTTTGAAGTGAACCAAAAAAATGATGCACAGGGAAGGGGGTACCTTTAAGACAGCTAGGTCCATTGTATAAAATTACCTAGCTTGTGCCACTAGCTAACCTACAAATGTATTGTGACAGAAAATATAATCAGCCCACTGTCAAGAGCTGAACTTTTCGGAGGTTGGACAGATGGAAATGAGATAAATAACGAGATTAGGTTATGTTATAAGAACATAAGACAAGCCATGCTGGATCATACCAAGGGCCCATCTAGTCCAGCACTCCGTACACACGGTGGCAAACCAGCTGCCCACAGGATCCCTCAAGCAGGGTGGGTGCAAGAGCTCCTCCTGCCCAGTTCCTCAGCAACTGGTGTACGCAGGCAGGCCACCCCTGGGAAAGGAGATACACAGCCAACAAGGCTAGTAGCCACTGATAGCCTCCTCCCTCATAAAACTGTCCAACCCCTTTTTAAAGCCATCCAGCTTGGCGGCCATCACCGCTTCCCGTGGCAGCAAATTCCATAGCTTAACTATACCCTGTTATTATGTTAAGAATATGCAAGGACTACTTGACAGGCGTCATTTAGGAGGAGATGAAGTTGGACCAGCTTTCGGGTTTGGGGATAGGCTTAGGCTGAATCTGGACTGCCCACTTGCTCTGCCATTGCACTTCCCAGAGAAGATTTGAGGAAGTGACAATATCCAAGAAGCTGTCCAAGGTTAGAGAGGTGAACATTACTTTTTATAAGTCTTCAGGCCCCGTAAAACTTTTGTGGACCTGAGCGTATTTCATGGAAATATAGAAGGTCATCTTGAGTTGGCAGTCATATAGACTCCCACAGGTGGAGGGAGGCGGGGAAAGAACAAAATGCAAGAAATACAGACCATGCGAACTATATTAAAACATAGGTGGTGGTAAAATAATTACTTGACACTGGCCATTCACAAAGTCATGCACAAAGTCGTCACTGAAAAGTCAATTACTACCACTGTTAATTAGCTAATCACTGTGAAAATAGTCTGTTTAGGCTGCAGTTCCAGAGATCACATTCTACACAACAGATCCTCAAATGCACCTCCCAGTTGCTGAAGATGCAAGAAAGAAGTGGGATACAGACAACTGCAATTTTAGCAGATAAATGGAAATCCAAAGTAGTAGGAGAGAGAATTGCCAATTAACAAATTTAAAAGTTATAAGGGGGGGTTGGGCTCGGGGGAAATGTGGAGTTCAAGTTTATGATTTGCAGGGAAAGAGAGGCAGCAAGAACTGATAAGGTTAGCATGAAAAGCTTGTAGCACAAGTGGAAGAAGGAAAAAGTGGGGGGGGCAAAGGAATAGGAGTGGGTGGGAAATTGGAGCATACAGGTGAGATCTGACAGACGAATGCAGAAATGTCATGCTGGCTTGGGGTCACAGGAGTTGTTGGTCCGAGACACCTGGCCCCTGCCTGCACATATGGCCCGACAGTCGGGTCTGGGTCTTGCTCTGGGCAGGGCAGTATTAACCCCCCCACCCCCGGCCGTAGGAGAAGTGCCAGGACGGGAGCGGAGAGGAAGCGGCGGTACCTGGTGCCTGGGGCGGCCCACGATGGAAGGGAAGACGGCTCGAGGGGCATCGTCTCCCGCGAAGCCTGCCTTGACCAAGCCCGAGCCGTTGTCGCACACGAGGGCGGTGGTCTCCTCGTCGTCGCACATCTCGGGAAGGACGCCGGGAGCTGAAAGACACAAGATCGGCCACGAGTCACCGCGGCTGGCGACGGGACGGAAGGCAGCGGTACCTCCTGGCAGGCAGAGCCGTTACTCCTCCTAAGCTCACGGCATGTCGACGGCGGGACATTTTGGAGGGTTTCGTTCATAGGGTCGCCATACGCCTCAAGCGACCTGACGGCACAGAGGCACAAGCCCAGAGAAGCGGCCGGGGCGACCGGGCTTTGCAGGCTGCCGCCAGCGATAACTCCCCCCCGACAACGGTGGCGCGCTTGGCCACGGCGGTCGCATGGCTCGGCGCCGCTTCCCTTGGGCCGCTCGGCCGGGGGCGCATCCGCCAGGGCCTTCCCGCGCTGCGTCGGGCAGTTTCTTCGGGCGCGATCGCAACGGGGCGTGTGTCGCTGCTGGAGAGACGCAGCCCGCGCGAGTTCCGGACGATCGACCTTACAGGATGTGCGCATCTTTCGGCTGGGGACGGAGTGTTGCGTCCTGCCTTTGAGCGCCCCGCAACAGCCGCGCGCTCGCACCCCTGCCCTACTCTGCCCCTCTCTGGCTGAGTGCATTTGCTTTGCAAACTCCAGAGGACTTCCTTGCGATTTTGTTTATAGATTTATTCCCTCCTTTTTTCGAAAGCTGTCGCGGAGCTGCGGGTAGGAAGACGAAACTTCGCAACACTCGCTGCGGAGCGCAGACGCAACCCCTTAGCCCTGAAACACGCGTTCTGAGTACCTTCCCTGGACTCCAGTACAGCTCCAGAACGGCACTTTCAGACATCCTGTCCCCACATGCGCTGCCAGCCCTCGCGGAGATCCACGATCCAATCGGGAAAGGGTTAGGCAGTTCGGCCCAAGTCTGAAGCCGATTTAGGAGTCGGGCTGTTTTCCGCTGGGCTAATTCGGATTCAGCGCCCCGACCTAAAGCGGCGGGTAGTGCAGCCGCGCACACGCACAGGCGCGCCCACGTGCGCGCGGGGCGGAGGGCGAGCATCCCTCAGATGCAAAAGAGGCGCTAGCCGCGGGCGGCCAAACGCCTCGCGGGCATCCTGGTGCCCGCAGGGGCTTGGTGGACGGGCTTGTCAGCTGTGCTACTCACCAGCTCAACTCTTTACTGCGCGGGGTCCTGGGCACAAGCTGGGTGCCGGCACGGAGGGAGCTCCACCGATTTATACTCGGCGGAGTAGCCTTGTCACTCGCCGGCTCCTGAGAGACAGGCCGGTCACCTGTCCTTATTTGGTCGGCTTCACGCCATCGAGTAGCGCTGAGGCCATTAATGGAGTCGGGAGGGCAAAAGCCACACTCGGGGGCCCCACAGTCCTTGTAAGGGAAAGCAAAGGGGGCAGCATGCGAGCAGCAAAGGGGGATGGCCAAATAGGGGAACCCATTTAAAAATGGGGGTGGGGGTGGAAGGGGGAGAGGCATGCCAACCCGCTTCTGGATGCAAGTTAAAACACACACACACACACACACCAATGAATGGAAGTGCCTCTCCATCACGGTGTTCGAAAACATCTCAAGGCTGTGGCCAGATCAATGAATTAAGCTCCAGCTGCCACCGTGTCTGGCATGTGTCAGAGCAGGGTGGGAAATAAGCAACTGAACAAACCAGCCACTGCATTTCAAAGGGCAGTGATGGGTCCCTTAAACAAGTTGCGAGGGTTCACAGTCACTGGCTCTGGAATCTGTTGCAAAATCCCATTGTCTTCACTGGGTTAGGATCACACTCATCCACCCAGCCCTACTTGGGATTACCTCTCAGTTTTGAATGTGTTCAGTGGAAAGAGGTTTCACCCTCCATAACGCTTGCTTCTACACAATGCCTTCAGAAAGAGGCTGGACAGAGATGTCATTTCACTCCATTATCAAATACTTTCAGTGAAATCCCCTATTTTTTCCCAGTATGGGTGGTATTTGGAAGGTATGAGAATCAACCTTTTCTTAGCCTGATAGCACAAATCATTTCTGATTGAGAAATGCTCAAGTTAGTTTGGGCATTTGGGGCATAGCTGTAGTGGCACTCAGTGCGACATGTGTCACGTGTGTTGTCATGCTGCACAAAGCATTATCCTTCAAGACAAAGAGGATCCCACTCCATTGGATGCAACCCATTCTTATAATTTGTGCCTCATAACAGACACATACTTGTGTCCTGATTTAGATGACTCTCAACTGGCTGAAATGCACAGGTGAGTTGCTGCGACTCCGTTTCTTTGAAATACCTGCTTGTCAGCACTATATTTCCTTTCAGGATGGTAGGTATTCCTGATATTGTGGCAGAGACCAACCCAATTAAGGGATCTTGTGACATCATGGAGTGGCAATCACAGCCATCCTAAGTACATGCTTGAGTGCTGATGCAGGGCTGTGGTTTAGAGCAGGGATGTGGAACCTGTTTCAGCCCAAGGACCAAATTCCATTTTGGGAAAGCTCTCAAGAGCTGCATTCCAGTACTGGGCCCAAAATACCAGCATATTTTTATTTTGTAGAGTGATCCATAGGATATCTTGGATTCTGAAACCCTGCCAAGAGCTGGGGATACACATTTGGATCCCTCTCCCCCTCTTGCCACTAAAGTAGAGAGTACCACGGCAGCTGCTTCTCCAAGGTCATAAGATCAGCTTTGGGAAAAGGCTAATGTGGCATCCAGGGGGCAGGCAAGGAAGGAAGCCAAGCCGGCCGAGCTATGACCCCTCCTGGAGGTGCTGCAGCCTCCTTGTCTCCTTCGAAATAATGCCCTGTTGTAGCTGTGTTCCATGCAAGACATGCAGACTTTTTCCATGAATGCATGGAGAAGCAGAGAACAGGAGTGCCCCTGACCCTCACCTCCCTCTGCCCCTGAACTTCATGGGCAGAGCGAGACTCTGGCAAGCAACTTGTGAATCACCGACCCCTTCCAGTGATGGAGGCCATTGGTTTGGGCCAATGTGATGTGTGAGGCGGGGAGGGCCTCTGGCAGGGTCCCACTCATTCTCTCTTTATATATTCATTCGACATGTGGAGGAGGTCTGAAAGAAGCTATCTTTCAACACCGTGAGCTCCATGGGAGCACAACTTGTAGCATTTGGGAAACTGCCATGAGTTAACCTGAGCCCAGATGATAGAGAGCAGACTCAGTGCTGAACAGAAACTCCCAACGAGCCTGAGGCAGGGGCATACTGGGAGTGGGATTCCAAAACATGGGAGGCACCAAGTCAGGGAAGACTTATGCGGAGTGTTATGTACAATCCTTTGGAGTTGTAGGTCTTTATTTCTGTTAAAGGGGAATAGAATTTTGCTCCTAATACATAAATGATTGTATTGCTCCAATTCAGAAATCTGCATCAACTGTTATGTACATTTTACATTGGTGTTCATGAACTCACCCCTTCCTCCCTTCCTTCCTTCTTTTTTCTTCTCTCTCAGGCAAGACCTTATTCAGTATGAGCAGGTGAGCAGTCTGATTACTGAAGCTGTCATGAAAATGACCTTAACTAAGAAAGAAAGTAGCATATGTTTCTGCAGCAAGGCACCCTCGAAGTCTCTTTAAACTTTGATGAACATGGCAAGAAAAATAATTCCCTCCTGCATTTTGGCAGAGGAAGAGAGGTGGTGGTGGGGGGAATCTGTTGGATAACATTAACACATGTCTGTTTAAGTTTCCAGTTTTTGTACTTTTTCATGCACGTTCAGTCAATAATGCATAGCAGGGCACACAGGCAAGATGGAACAGCTTGGACCCAAAACAAAAGGAGAGAAAATCTGAGCTCTGGTATTAATGTCATCTGTCAGTTGTTTTCCTGCTTGGTTTTTAAAACATCCATGATTTGCTCCAGTGATGGAATCTCCATGATCCATCCCAACAATTCAGGCATTTTTGCTGATCTTACTTAAAAATAGAAAGACAGGAGAGACAGTTGTTGAGTGGGTTTGGTTTGGTATGCAATGGCCCAGACTGTGTGTGAGTCCCAGAGGAACGTCACCGTATGGCTGAAGACAGTGTCCTTTGGAATTCAGCTTGTAAATTATCCACGCATGTGCATGTCTGTGCATGACATTAGGAGAGCAAGCCCTGGAGAGAGGGGAGGAGGGCTCTGTGAGCACATGGACAGTGCATGCCAGAAGCCTGCAAAATATTTGTTTGCTGCTTTACCCCTAAGTCAGACACAAATCCTCTTGTATGCAAATCCATTGTACGGGAAGTTGCCCATTGGTGCTTGAAAGCAGATTCTGGTATAATTCCAAAACTATGGGGATGAATGTAAAAGTATAAGCCAAATGGCAGTTGTTCTGTTTGTGACAATGTTTGCAGAAGTATAATTCATATAAGCACTGTAGGAACTAGAAATTGCCCCAGTGTTTTTCAGTATTGTGACAAAACAGGCGCATTGTGTTTTTGGACTTTATACTGCTCCATATTAAGAGATGACACATCGAAGCTGTGCTTCTTAGTGCAAATAGGCATTGGGGGAGCTACATCAGGGTCCATTATTGTCATTGTTCTTTCCTTAGTCTACCTTTGTACCATGCCTATTAATAACATAGTGGTGTAGCAGAACAGGACTGTCTGGGTCAAGGCACCAGGACTCCTTTATTAGCAGGGGCCATTATGCCACCTGCCTCCTCACTGGCACTTTCCTGTTCCCTCTAAGCTTACCTGCAATTCTCACAGTAGCTGCAGAATGATGACATTTCCCAGGAACACTATATTGTCGTGAGCTATCCTTGTTGCAATGCAAATTAAAACCCATTTGCTCCCAGTGGAGATGAAAACTGTTACACAGGGTCATCAGTGCAGATTGACGCAAGAGTTGCCTACTTATTTTGACTCTCCTTGGGAAAAGGGCTATGGAGACTGTCATGATGAGGGCCAGTGTGTCAAAATTCACTACAGAACATACACAGCAGTGGGGAAAGTCGCAAAGAAAATTCCAGTGCACCGTATTACTGAGAAGTGCAACCATGGTGTCCTTGGGCCTTTTCATATGCATTTTCTTGCTCTCACTCTAGCACTTTGTGCAGTGTGACTTGGGTTCTGGAAGATCTGCATAGGCAACGAACTCAGCTCAATTAGGAGCAAAAGAATCTGTACGGTGAGGGGCAGGCTACTAGCACCTGGCACTTTTAAAGTTCCGAACCTGTGTGTCCTGCTATGATGAAATTAATCAGCATTGCTCTCATGTACCGGAAGTATGCAAACAGTGGATGTGCGCAAGAGCTTTCATGGCTCCCCTGTCACCACCTTTGTCAAGTAACTCGTGAGACCAGCCTAACTGGCCAGTTGAAACACTTGGCAGAAAATATTCTGAAGAATCCACAGGACCAAGCACCACTCCCCAGCACCACCTTCCACAGCCAGCCAAGTAGGGATGGGACTATCGCAGTGCCACAGCACTGCCCCCAGGACCAGAGTGTGGCCCGGGTACCTCGCCAGATTCAGTTGCTATAATGCTGGCATCGAAGTCCCAGTGGAAGCACGAGATTTTGTCCTGGAAGCGCTTCACAAGTCAGTGACAGAGGGCCTCAGATGGGTCTACAGTGTGCTTAGGGCCCACATATTGTAGGCCCTGGGCACCCCTAAAAAGCCCTAATGGGTGCCACATAGAAAATGAAATAAGGTGGTGAGATGATGTTTCTTTACCACCATCACCACCCCTAAGGGCTCAGTTGCATCTACTAGGAGTTTCCCCCCATTTGCAATCAAGCTGTCTTCTGTTTGTTTCATTGCTTCTGTCTTTGGGGCATACCATGGAGACGTACGAGCTCTGCTACAGAGCAGCCATGCAGGAGTGTCAACTGCCCCAGTTCACATCTGTATTCCAGGGATTAACTGGGATCAACTGGAACATCCCAAGACCCCTTTAGAAATCATGCAGATCCATCAGCCTCTGAAAGTGGACGGGGACAGTGCAATTGCGCCAGAGGAAAAGCATGCTCTTTCACTTGCAGGGATAATACAAAAAGTATTGTTTAAAGATAGAAGAGAAACTGGAAGTTTACGGGATCATCTTAAGAAATTGTAAGCAACTATGAGTAACAAATGAAGAATGCACAGGGCAGAAAAGTTCCCAGAGTATTCAGTGCTCACTGTGAAATCCCAGCTGACAGGGAAGGAAAGGAAGGCCTTTGCGTTTCCCTCTAAAGTAGATAAACCCAGCCCCTTTGGCCTTCTTTATTTTCATC